CAGGCAGATATTACTACTGTTAATCCCACCTCCCTTCCCTTCCCCCCCATAGTTTCCCACCACTGTCAGTCCTTTTCTTATAGTATTACGATGGATGTTCAAGGTCCACTATATGAGTGAGAATATATGATATTCAGATCTTTGTTTCTGTGAGAGGTCACTCGGTATTATAGACTCTAGTTCCATCCAGGTTGCTGCAAAATTCATGATTTTTTTCTTTTTTATGGCTGCGTAGTATTCCATCGTGTATATGTACCACATTTTTAAAATCCAGTCCTCTTTTGATGGGCAGCATGGTTGTTTCCAGGTTCTTGCTATAAACATACGTGTGCAGGTATCTTTTTTATAGAGTGATTTGTGTTCTTCAGGGTATATTCCCAGTAGGGGGATTGCGGGATCATATGGAAGGTCAATTTTTAGAGCTTTTAGGAATCGCCACACTGCTTTCCACAGAGGTTGCACTAGTTTACACTCCCACCAACAGTGTAGAAGTGTTCCCTTTTCACCACACCCTCTCCAGCAGCTGTTATTTTTTGAGTTGTCGATAATTGCCATTCTGACTGGAGTTAGTGGTATTCCAGATAAATATTTTTTGCTGTGAAGGCCATCCTGTCTGTGTCCCAGCTATCCAGCTCTGCCATTATGTTGCTGGAGAGGAGGTCTCATGGAGACAGAGGAGATTTCAACTCTTGCCCCAAGGGCTTGACTTCACTGCAGGATAGAATTCAAGAGCAAGTCACCAAGTTGATGAGTAAAGTGAAGATTTTACTGAGGCGAAAATACACCCTCCATGGGGAAGAGAGTGTGGGCAGTCTCAAGAAGAGAGCACCCTGAAGAAGGAAAGTATACACTCCAAGGGAAGGGAATGTGGCCAGTCTCAGAGTGAGAACTTTCCCAAGGGGTCTTCGTGTCTGACTTTTATTCCCTTTACCTCCGGGGAAGTAGCTGGGAGGAGTGAGGGTCACGAGAGCTATGGATTTGTTCTCATTTGGGCATCTGAGCTGCTTAATGAGCTCATGCTCTGGTTGGGTTCTCAAGAAGAGTAGAGGGCCAGCTTTGCTCTGTTGACTCCAACCGTAAACATCCTGGAGTTGTTTTCCAAAATTTTAGCTACTTGCTTCCTGCTTCTCATAGGGTGAAACAGAGGCCACATTTTCCTGCGCTTGCTAGCCTGCCTCAAGAACAGCCGCAGACAAAGGACAAACCAGTAAGCTTCCTTGTGTTCCAATAAAACTTATTTATAAGAAAAGGTGACAGGTCAGATTTGAACATGGGCTATAGTTTGCCAATCCCTTGTCTAGAAGAACTACTTTAAAAACATTTAGATAGGCTGGGCACAGTGGCTCAAGCCTATAATCCTAGCACTTTGGGAGACTGAGGTAAGAGGATTGCCTGAGCTCAGGGGTTTGACACTAGCCTGGGCAACTTTGTGAGACCTTGTCTCCACAATAAATCAAAAATTTAGCTGGGCATGGTGGTGGCACCTGTGATCTCAGCTACTTGGAAGGCTGAGGCTGAAGGATTGCTTGAGCCCAGCAGGTAGAAGTTGTGGTGGCCATGAGCGTGCCCCTACACTCCAGCCTGGGCGACAGAGTGCGTCTCCAACTCAAAACAACAACAACAACAAAACTTTTAAATTATGATAAGCTCCCTTTGGCCTATTTTGTGGAGCAGTGTAGGGCATAGATAATCAACAGTGGACACTGTGCTTCTGTTTGTGATTATCTCATCCATAGGAATGAGCACATGAGAGCAAGGACAGGCAATATTTCCATGCTGAGAGTAGAAAGATAAGAAAGCAAAACCAATCTTGTACTCATTGTGGTTGATGAGCATTGCCTGGAAAAATGTGTTGATTTCTGGTACTGATGGTTTGGCGGTGGTGATACAGAGACAACCATTGGGTTAATAGGCTGCAATCTTCAGCATTGGATAAGGCAAATTTAAAATTGTGAGGATCAGTCGTCAATAAACCCTTGCTTCTTTTATTTATTTATTTATTTTTTGAGTCAGAGTCTTACTCTGTCACCCAGGCGGGAGTGCACTGGCACACCCACAGTCACCGTGGCCTCGACCTGCCGGGCACAGGTGATCCTTCTGCCTCAGCCTTCCAAGCAGCTGGAACTATAGGCGTGCGCTACCACGCCTGGCTTATTTTTTGATTTATCATAAAGACAAGGTCTCACCAAGTTGCCCAGTCTGTTCTTGAACTCCTGAACTCAGGCAATCCTCTCACCTTAGCCTCCCAAGGTGATGGGATTACAGGCTTGAGCCACTGAGCCCAACAACCCTTGCTTCTGGTAGAATAACCTTTGTGGAGGTGGGGTCTGGAAGGATTAAGCTCTTACTTGTGATGAAAGTGGGGAAAATGCTGAGGACTGACTACCTCACCCCCCCAAGTGGGACTGCTGTAGTGTACACTGATTGTCGTAGGGTGCTTTGAGACCTAACAAGACACCTTAGCTTCTACTGAATGAACTGCAATTTGGGTTTCAACAACAGACTTCCCAAGCCAGGAGTCCTATAATTAGTACGATGTGATCTCTTTTAGAAACAAGGAGGGGCAATTAGAGGGAGAGGGGATGTGTGGCTGGTCACTACTTTTTTGTTTACTGTACCTTCATAAACAGCCTTCTGCCTCAACAATCTGGATGTTTTATAGTGGGCACTTGGTTTTGTCTGCCTAGGCCTCTTCCTATCTTTTTTAGGAAATGTTTTTCTTATTCAAATCTGGCATCTGGTAGGGAATTTCCTATCCTTACTGACCCCTCCTCTCTGGTCACGGTTGATAGCTGGTCTAGGAATGGGCTCCAACTCAACCTAAGCTAATCATATCTGCCACCTAGTCTCAGTTGATTGGTAAATGTCTTAGTTCATTCAGGTTGCAATTACAGAAATATCTTACACCAAGTGGCATATACACATCAGAAACCTGTTTCTCACAGTTCTGGAGGCCAGGGAGTTCAAGATCAAGGCACCAGTAGATTCGGCGTCTGGTGAGAGTTTTCTGGCTCATAAATGACATCTTCTCACTATATTGTCACTTGTTGGATGGGGCCAGGCAGCTCCCTGAGACCCCTTTTGTAAGGGCACTAATCCCATTCATGGGGGCTCCCCCTCATGACCTGGTCACCCCCAAATGTCCCCACTCCAAATACTATCACTTTAGGGGTTAGGTTTTAACTTATGAATTTGTGGGGGAGAAGAAATATTCAGACCATCACAGGAGTGATCACATGACCTAAACTGAGTCTGTCAGTTCTTCCCTGGAGTTTTATGAACTGGAATTGAAGCGAAACTCAGTCCTTCTTGACAGTGAAGCTGGGAGACATGAGGCTCTTTACTGCTGAAGCAGCACTGCCTGCTATGGCGTAAAGTAGATTTACAGAGAGAAGCAGATAGTTCTGTTAGAGGAAGACAGCCACGTGGTTTTTTTCCTCCATTTTTTTTTCTTTTTCAGTACCCCTGTTATATTTGGAAATCACAAGGCTTCCAATACATTTCACGTGGTTCAATTTCTCCCATTGGAGCACAAAGTGTCCTGATTCAATTCTTACTTTGGCCATCTCTTGTGGGCAAGTTAGAAAGACTTGGGCGATGTTTCCTCCATTTTCATTCCTCTGGTCAACTCAGTCCCAGGTCACGTACGCTCTGTATCTATAAATGGGTGAGCTTGTCCATTTCCATCCCAGACTCTGCATTCTGTGCAAGGAGCCCACATTTATTTCTGTGGCACAGGTCTTTCTTTTGAACTCTACTTTAAAGTGCATGTTGCTGTTTAGCTGGTAACTCACCTTGGGTGCCAAATAGGTTTTCAACATGAGCATGTTTGTAATGGATTGTTTCTAGTTTCACCCATGTTGGAAAATGTCACATCCTATCGAGCAATGTTAAGTACTTGGGGATCCATATGCCTTTAACCGGTTTGGGTCTGAGAGGAGAGGTGGGCAACTTTATGAATCTACTACTATTAATGGTGAGGTTTGAGCTTTTGGCTCTGGAAAGAGGGTCAGATGGAGGCTGCAGGGTGGTGAGCACCTGCCCTCTCTGGTGAAGGTCTGGTGCAGTGGGGTGGAGGAGGCTGATCCCTGCTGTGGCTGACCTCACAGGTCCTGGAGCAATACATTTTTACAGCATTTTGTTATTTTGTTTTAAAAAGTGTTATGGTGGAAAAATACATATAACATAAAATTTGCCATCTTAACTCTCTTTTTCTGAGTCAGAGTCTCACTCTGTTGCCCAGGCTGGAGTGCAGTGGCATGCTCATGACCACCGCAGACTTGACCTGCTGGGCTCAGGCAATCCTTCCAACTCAGCCTTCCAAGGAGCTGGAAACACTGTTAACAGGACGTCTTATACAAACAGGCTTGATTCCCAAGCAACAGAGGTCTTAGCTATCAGTGTTTTCTTAGCCCTCGATGTCTCAAGGACACAAACCAAGGTGCCAGTTCATCATGAGAGGGGCCAGGCCACTGCCATCTTGGAAGCCAGTTCCACTGTTCCCTTTCTTCTTGGTGGCCAATTCTTCCACTAAGACAAGAGACCAATTTGCACAAAACTTTCAGAACTCAAAGAGCTTGATTAAACCTTTCTCTCAAGATAATAAGGAACTTGACTATCCTGGGGGGGGCTCAAAAAAACCCCAGAATTTATAGAAAATTGTGTATTTATTCTTACATATTTAAACTTCAGTCAAACCGGGCTCGGTAGCTCAACCTGTAATCCCGCGCCTTGGGAGGCTGAGGCCCGCGGGTTCGAGACCGGCCTGGACAACTTGGCGAGACCTCATCTCTACAATAAATCAAAAATCAGCCGGGCATGTTAGTGCGTGCCTGTAGTTCCAGCTATTCAGAAGGCTGAGGTGGAAGGATCGCTGGAGCCCAGCAGAACGAGGCTGTGGTGGCCGGGAGCCACCACTGTACTCCAGCCTGGGCGACAGAGTGAGACTCCAACTCAAAAAAACAAAAAAAACAAAAAAAACAAAACAAACAAAAAAAACACTTCATATCCCCCCCGTCAGCCGCGCTTACACCACTGCCTGTGTCCTCACCACCGCCGCTGTGCAGTTGGAATTGATCACACCTTTTCAATTGTACTTCAATCCTGAATTAATCTTTAAACACTTTCAAATATGGAGGTTAATCACCAATTTCTTATTTTTTGGCCTAGTTGGATTCAATTTTTTATTTAATATGATTTTTCTCTTTTTGGCTTGTTTGTGAGCTTAGTTTTCTTGGGCCAGGTCTTCGCAATAATGCTCGTCTACGTGTGGAGCCGAAGGAACCCATATGTCCGCATGAACTTCTTTGGCCTTCTCAACTTTCAGGCCCCCTTTCTGCCCTGGGTGCTCATGGGGTTTTCCTTGTTGTTGGGGAACTCAATCATTGTGGACCTCTTGGGTATTGCAAGAGGACACGTATATTTTTTCTTGGAAGATGTATTTCCCAATCAGCCTGGTGGAATAAGAATTCTGAAAACACCATCTATTTTGAAAGCTATTTTTGATACACCAGATGAGGATCCAAATTACAATCCACTACCTGAAGAGCGGCCAGGAGGCTTCGCCTGGGGTGAGGGCCAGCCCCTTGGAGGTTAAAGCAGCAGTGCCAATAATGAGACCCAGCTGGGAAGGACTTAGTGCTACCCATTAGGATTAGTTTATTCTGTGCAAAAGTGTGGACACTTTTGAAGCTTGGCAGACTTTAACTCCAGAAGCACTTTATGAAATGGTACACTGACCAATTCAGAAGATATTTCCAGAAGTTTGCCAGTGGTTCCTCACTACACTGGTACTGAAGGTGTAATCTCTTGGAGCCAAAAAACTGGAGAAATGAATATCCTGCCACCTCTAACAAGTACATAAGTACTTGAATTCTGTGATACAAAGCAGAACTTTTTCTTCCTCTTTTTTGATAGAGGAGGCTATGGTGTAAATGGAAGTTTCAGAGAGGGCAAAATAAAGCTGAATTCCATCTCTCTTTCACTGTAAAAACAAAAACAAAAACAAAAAAACTTCAGTCACCTTTAATGTATCGAGACACTTTTTCCACTGCTCAAAACAGTTTTTGAACTCATCAGTTTTGATGCCTTTTAGTGCTTCTCCTGGTTTTTGTTTCACCTCTTCCACATTGGCAAGATGTTTCCCTTTGAGGACTTTTTTCATCCAGGGAGACAATAAGAAAGGGATTGGCAATAGTGGGAAACCTAGGAGAGAGGGGTGGGATTGGCAGTTGAGGGAAACTGCTAGGGGAGGAAGGGCATACCTCGTCAACAAGGGTGCCTGCATCATCAATGCTTGTGTACCTAACCCTGAATTGTACCCCACATCTTTATAATATAAATAAATAAATAAATAAATAAATAAATAAATAAATAAATATATA